AGGTACTCACCGAGCACCGACCAGAAACCTTTCAGATACTTCTGCTTCAGCACCTTCGCCACCACGTGGCGCCACCTGCGCTGCACCCTGCCGTTGGTCTTCTCGACCTGAGCCTCCTCGTCTGGCACCCACAGCCACACGCCGCCGGCAGCCCCGCTATCGCTGCTCGAAGCCGTGGCTGGAGTGTGCAGGGCGGGCCGCGCTGGAGCGCGGCCGGGCTGGTGCGCGGGAGCGCCGGTTAAACCGACGCTCCGCTACCATGCAACGCTCCTTTGACACAAATGAGCTGCGGACGTCAAACGATATCGATAAGAACAGATACCACTGATTGTGCACGTGAAGGGAAACAGGGGGGCTTCCTTCAAAACGAAACGCCCGACTGAATTGCGGGCCCCTGGGGCGCTCGTCTTATGCTCGCGCCGTGAGAAATCATCCTGGCGAGGGACTCAAACCATGTGCAATCGTGAGTAACGCAGTTGTGGGGTCACGGCGCGCGTGACGGGCGTGTCAACATCGACACGGGCACGCCATGCGGACGCTACCACCGGAGCCGTCGGTGGACTCTCATGCGAGACCACAAAACGTGCGAGGGTTGCGCCCGAATGAAGGGTGGAACCGCGCGCGGGCGCTGCCACCACCAGAGCCTTCGGTGGAGCACTCTATGGGGCAACGTAGAAAGTGTGGGGTGCGCCGAAATGGAGGTGGAACTGCATGCGGACCCTGCCACTGGGGCCTTCGGTGGAGCACCCGTGGAGCCACGAAACGTGTGAGGGGTGCGCCGACATGGGGGTGGAACTGCATGCGGACCCTGCCTCTGGGGCCTTCGGTGGAGCACCCTATGGGGCCACGAAACGTGTGAGGGGTGCGCCGACATGGGGGTGGAACTGCATGCGGAGCATGCCACTGGGGTCTTGGGTGGAGCACCTTATGGGGTCACGAAAAAAAAAGGGGGGAACGAAACGGAGGTGGAACTGCATACGGACCCTACCACTGTGGCCTTGGGTGGAGCACCCTATGGGGCCACGAAACGTGTGAGGGGTGCGCCGAAATGGAGGTGGAACTGCATGCGGACCCTGCCGCTGGGGCCTTCGGTGGAGCTCCCTGCCCATGGCGCTACGAGACGCTGTACTGGGTGGGTGAAACGCAGGGAGGAGGGAGGAGGGGGAGGAGGGAGTGGGCAGCGGGAGGAGGAGTGAACGTGGGGCGCTGTCTCTTCAAAACGAGGACCCAACACCACAGGATGGTTGGAAAAAATGCTTGCAGGAACTACCGAGGAGAGGAAATGGGCTGGGGGAGTGTACTGCAACATCGTCGGCACATAAATGGTTTACTCTGGTCCTCCTCCACCTCAACGTCCTGCCTCCTCCTCCTCCACCTCCTCCGGCTCCTCCTCTTGCAGCTCTTCCTGCCCCTCCTGCTCCTCCTCCTCCGCCTCCACCTCCTCCCGGCATCAGCATCATCATCATCATCATCATCATCATCATCAGCAGCATCAGCATCATCATCATAACATTCATCATCATCATCATCATCATCATCAGCATCGTCATCGTCATCATCATCATCATCAGCATCATCATCATCATCATCATCATCATCATCATCGTCATCATCATCATCATCATCATCATCATTCTCAGCATGATGATGATCATCAGCATCGTCATTAGCATCATCATCATTGTTATCATCAGCATTAGCATAAGCATCAGCATCAGTATCAGCATTAGCATAAGCATCAGCAGCATCACCATCACCATCATTAGAATCTTAAGTGTGCTAATCCTCGTCCTCCTCCCCAGTCTCGTCCTCGGTACCCTCGCAATCACCATCATCATCATCAGCACCACCACCATCAACATCATCATCAGCGTCATCATGATCCACATCAGCATCATCAGCATCACCAAACTCCTCGGTATCTTCATCAACATCCGCACCTCTACAGATCACCACCATATGCATGGTCGTCATCAGCATCATCATCAGCAGCAGCGTCATCGTCAGCATCATCATCAGCAGCAATATACATCATCATCAGCATCAGCATCATCATCCGCATCAGCATCCTCATCTTCATCATCGTCAACATCAGTATCATCATCATCACCACCATCATCATCATCATCATCACCATCACCGTCATGAACATGATCATCATCATCATCATCATCATCATCATCAGCATCATCATCATAATCATCATCGTCATCATCAGCATAGTCATTATCATCGTCAGCGTCATGGCCATCGTCATCGTCATGGCCGTGGTCGTCGACATCATCATCATCATCATCATCATCATCATCATCATCATCATCATCATGATCATCATCATCATCAATAGCAGCATCAACAGCATCAACATCAAAAACATCAGATCACCATAATCCTGACCACCACCGTCATCATCATAATCAGCATCAGCATCATCATGCGCAGCAGCAGCATTATCATCAACAGTATCAGCATCAGCATCATCATCGTTATCAGCATCATGAGCATCAGCGTCGTCATCGGCCTTATCATCATCAGCAGCATCATAATTAACCTCATGATTGTTGTCATCAGCATCGTCGCCGACGACATCAGCAGTAGCATCATCAGCACCATCAGCATCGTCGTCAGCATCACCAGGATCATCATCATCATCATCATCATCATCATCCTCACCATCATCACCACCATCGTCATCGTCGTCGTCAGCATCGACATCATAATCATCAGCATCATCATCATCATCATCATCACCAGCATCATCGTCATCAGCTGCAGCATCATCATCATCATCATCAGCATCATCATCAGCATCATCATCTACACCATCATCATCATCACCATCATCATCATCATCATCATCAACAACAGCAGCAACATCATCAACATCATGATCATCATCGTCATCGTCGCCATCACCAACTCAAGCACCATCATTATTATTATCCTAACCATCATTAATTGTATAGTTACTTTCAATGTCATCCTTCTCATCCATCCGGCTCCTCGCTCCCGTGCCTCATTTCTCTCCTCGCTCTACTTCCTCATCCTCCCCCTCCTCATCTCTCATATCCCCATCCTCCTGCTTCCCGTCTTCCCCTGGCCATCCGATTTCCTGCCTCCCCCGACTCAGGACGTCGCAGTCTACGTCGTCGCCGCCGTCGTGCTCGTCCCTTTTGAGTCGTCTCCGCCGGCGTCAAGAATTGCACCCTTCCGCTCTTTCTCTGGATGTTCGCGCCGCACAAGGGCGGGCCGCGGCTCAGAAACAGAAACGGCCAGGACGAGCTTTTCATCGGATCACGCGTGGCGAGACCTGTGCACGTGCACCACTCCATGGCCGGGCCCAGCCCTGAGTACGGGAGCGGGCCGGGAGGCATGTGCACCGACTCGGTGCCTGGGATGGGCCAGGGCAGGGGGGTGGACGTGCTCTGATCTCGCCGCCCGATGGGAGGAGTCCAGGGGCAAGCTCTGGAGCGGATCCTGATCGGGGGAGGAGGAGGAGGAGGAGGAGGAGGAGGAGGAGGAGGAGGAGGAGGAGGGATGGCGGCCTCGTCCGAGTCGGGCTCGCTGTTGGGGAGCAGGACGTCACCCTCGAGGACGGGGCCACGGAGTGGCGCCATCGCCGGGCTGCTGGGCGCCAGGTCGAGTGCTCGGCGCGGAGAGCGGGGCGGTGTCCAGGCGGGGGGTCTTGGGCCAGTGAGCGGCTGCGGGCAATGAGGAGGTAGAGGGTAGGGGTCGTCACTGGGAGGGGCCCAGTGAATACACCACGTCGTCTGGACGGCCAAAGGGCTCTGTGCGTGGACGCCCTAGCAGCCCAACATGTGGGAGGCTGGAGCGACTGCATACCGAAGTCCTTCGCCGAGTTCATGGGTTCCATGGCCAGCCAGACTGCATGGTGTGAGTATCGAGCCCCTCCGAGTCACTAGGCGCTGCCATGCCCGAGCACGGCATGGTCGCCAAGATGGGGACGGAGTGTGCCCCCCCGAGTCCACCACCAGAGTTGTGCCCCCGGCCTGCAGGTACCCCGATCCCCTGCCCACCCCTGGACTACTGGCATCGCCACCCTAAGCATCTTGTTGGCCCGCCACCGAAATGAGAACAGACAAAATACGAACGATGACCACATAACACATGGTGTCTAAATCCGACAGCGGCTGCGTGGGTCATTGTCTCAAGGTCCGCCGCGACACCGACAACGACTCCTGTTCAAAATTGACAAACTCTGATGTCGGTCTCGTACTCATGATACAGTTCCGTGCGTACCCATTTAGCGGATTTAAAAAACTCTGAACCAAAAAAACCTTGACATACCTTGAGGGCGCAACTTTTGCTTTCGCCAGCTTCCGCCAGCGGAGGCAGCCTCGTTTTACTTCCGCCGCTTTCCGCCGAGGAAGAGATGGCAACTCCCTCGATCCTTGAAGGAGAAAACGCCTTGCAGGTCCAACCGAGCGTGGAGCCGAGGGTGCTTAATGGCGCGGCGATGCTGGTAGGAGTCGAAGGCATTGAGACCACTCATCAACGGCTCCAGTACCACAGCAATCCCAAGCAATACAAAGCAATGCCCAGCTGTGCCGAGCAATGTAAAGCAGCAGTGCACTGCAATGCGATTGAAATGTTAAAACAATCCAGCGGCGACGACGGCGACCAACGGCGGCGACGGGCGGCAACGAGCCGCCCAGACCGGCACGAAGGCTCTGCTACCTTAGAAGACAAGTGAGAACCCCTAAGTGCAATCACTGCTTCGGGGCAAAAACAAATATCCAACGTTCGCAAGCCGTGCTGGGCATCGCCAATCGTTCGGCCAGCGGCGTGGAGCATCCGCTTAACAGGAGCATAGCGACCCCAGTCCCGACTTGGTGGGGTTTGCCCATGGAGACAACATCTGGTGCCAAAGCTCTGAGCTATCCGGCAGAGGGTCCTCTATCCTCGATGAGGGCGCGTCCGAGCAGCCCCCTGGGGATGCATCCACGAGTCACCCCGCTTTTCCGAGCGGCGTCACTGTCCTAGCGGAACTCGGGACTTGCTCGCCTGCCACCGCTGATTGCCGACATGGCTGGCAGCACGTCGCTGCTGCCACCGCCACGAGCGCCGCAGGCCGTCACCGCCGCCATCGTCATCATCAGGGCGGCCACGGCTGAGATCAGGTGCCACTTAGGCTGGTCGCCTGTAGCAGGAAGGGCTGGAGTGGCAGCAGCAGCAGCAGCAGCAGCTGCAGCAGAAGAACAAACGGCGCAAGCAGAAACTTTGGAAGGTGGGCGCGAACTTCCCGGATCGACTTTGGACCCCCCGCCCCCTGGCACGCGGAGAGCGCCGTTGGCGGCGCCAGAAACACGGTCAGTCACGAGAGGCGAACATATCCGTATCCGCCCTCGCAGTCTGGATTCGGGGGGAGGAGGAGGAGGAGGAGGAGGAGGAGGAGGAGGAGGAGGAGGAGGCGTGATCTTCTGGATACGCAGTTGCACAGATACGTTCCGCACGGGGCATCCGCGAAGAAGCGCTCCCACCCGCCTGGCCGCGGACCCCAAAGGGCCCCGCCCGCGGAGGCGCGGAAGCGGACATGCGTGTTCGCCCGCGAGCCAAGGGGGGTCCCAGAGCCGGCCCAGCAAATCCGCGTGGACCTGCGAAAGCTTACAGTCATCGGCCTGACCTAAGGAACGATAAATAAGGAACGAAGCCCCGTTTTTATCCGAAGGAATAACGCGTAAGGAACGATATAAAATAAATGACGCATAAGGAACTGTAAATAACGCATGTAAACCTAAGGAACGATCGCGCCCCTTCTGAAAAGTAAGTGTTCCTTATTCAAGCCGCTCACTGTATGCGGGTGCCGCGTTCCTTCCTCGAAGAAGTTGGCCACGCCCCCAAGAGGCAGGCCAACAGGCAGGGGCGCCAGCCTCGGCGATCGACGGCAGCGGCTTCTGCTGGACGGACGCCACTGGCCAACATGCTGGCAACGCTCCCTGTAAAGCCGACAAGCCGCATCTCCACTCATACCTTCCCATGTTTGTTTGCGCCCTGCACTTCTTCGAGACCACCTAACTCGAAGAAATAATTGGGTCGCTTCGTAAACATGGTTACACTGATATGTCACTAGCCATCGAGACAAACATATCCTTAAAACTTCAACTGCCAGAATTCCATCAGTTCATCTTCTGGAGATGAGCTTGAAGAGCCCGAGCAAGTATCCAGCTTTGTCCGTTCCACATGTACTCCTATGCGTTGCGCGGCCTGCAGAAACGTCAGCGTCCCTTTTCTATGAACGTTCTGTACTACCCACATCTCACGACTGAAGCGTTTCGCTGTCTGCAGCAGCGGCTCGCAACAATCACACTCGTAGAGTATATCTGCTCCAACAGAGAGGTCGAAAACACGACCAACGCCTCCGCATGAGGCGTTGTTCGAGTCGAAGAGCGCTGCACGCTGACGTGTGGCATCCCAGCGCCAGTCCAGTTCGGCTGCACGAATCTGTTGATAGTTCGTGCGTGTTTGGGCAGATTGAATCCCACCAGCCCTTTAGGGCGTGAGTGGTTTAGCGAGCCCCCTCTGTCCTCAACCCCCCTTCTTCCCCTTCGGGGAGGGGTTTACCCCTCCCCCTACCCCCTCCCCCTGGGCCTGGAGAGGGAGTTTCGCGGGTGGTCAGGGCGGTCTTTTTCGACTCCTGGGAGGGCTAAAAAACGACGACCCTCACGAGGATTCTGCCCCCGACGGGGGGATCCAGAAAAAAAAACTCTCCTCTTCTGTGAAGCCAAAATCAATGTTTTTACGAGGGGTTTGGCCCCATTTTGGCCTCCCGAGGGGGCCGCGCTCATCTTCCTTCATAGCAAAATCACTGATTTTACGAAGGTTTTGGGCTCAGTTTGTCCTTCTCAGGGGGCAGCGCTTCTTTGCGCTTCTGAGGAGGTCGCAAGAGGCCCCAAGATGGCCCCAAGAGGCCCCCAGGAGCCTCCCAAGAGGCCTCCAAGAGGCCCCCAAGAGGCCCCCAAGAGGCCCCCAAGAGGCCCCCAGAGGCCCCCAAGAGGCCCCAAGAGGCCCCCAAGAGGCCCCCAAGAGGCCCCCAAGAGGCCCCAAGAGGCTCCAAGAGGCCCCCAAGAGGCCCCACGAGGAGCCCGAACGACTCACACCAGGACGAGGGGCCCGAACGACTCACACCACGAAGAGCCCGAACGACTCACACCACAAGGAGGGGCCCGAACGACTCACACCAGGACGAGGCGCCCGAACGACTCACACCACGAGGAGCCCGAACGACTCACACCACGACGCGGGCCCCGAACGACTCACACCACGAGGAGCCCGAACGAGTCACACCAGGAGGAGGGGCCCGAACGACTCACACCAGGATGAGGGGCCCGAACAACTCACACCACGAGAAGCCCGAACGACTCACACCAGGACGAAGAGCCCGAACGACTCACACCACGAAGAGCCCGAACGACTCACACCAGGAAGAAGGGCCCGAACGACTCACACCAGGACGAGAAACCCCAAACGACTCAAATCACGCGGAGCGCTTTCTCTCCCTCCTCCTCCGCCTCGTCCTTCTCCCGCTCCCCCCACAAGGAGGATGTACACGGAGGCGGGAGGAAGGAGGAACAGGGGAGATATGCGGGGCCAAACGGACACACGCCTGAAAAACACGACTGTCGGCATGCTTCGCATGAGTTGCTGTTGTGAGATGGGCTGGTGGGGATACGCGAAGCGTAAAGAATTCCATCCCGTTGTTGTGAGGGCAGAACACTAGAATTCAGATTCACGTTCTTCTCGAGAATTGAAAAACCAGGCCCTATATCTGTGGCCAAGATCTCGACGTCACCACCAGTTGCCGCGAGAGTAAGACTAACAAGGCCTACGCCAGCTCCGAATTCGATCACGCTCTTATGTTACCAACGTTCTCGAAGGTCCATCATCTTGTTTTGGAGCAGGACCGAACTACGCCACAACTTCGTGCTCACATCATCGGGCAAGATGGTTATTCTGAGAAAACCCGAAGGCTTTGATCCGTCTGTTTCCACCCCGACCTTGAAAACGTCCGGTGCGTAACCGTCAACCTGAATTCCGAGTGCGGCCTGATGCTTCTCGTGCTCGCTGACCTGGAGCTCGTCCTCGGCTTTCACTTCTTCCGCCCGTTTTGGACCGCAGGGGACGCCATCTCCTTTCGATGCCCACGGACGCAGCCACTGCAAATTCTCGGGAGAGGGCTCACAATACACAACCGCTATCAGACTGCGCGGGTTTGAGCCCTCCTCGGTGTTTTTGCGGTCATGGTATCCGTCTGCGTACACATCTGGAAGCCATCGCCAATCCCCGTCTTCTGCAGACGCCCTGTAGAACACGTTTGGCGTCGCGGCCATGCCGATCGAGGAGTCCCCTGCCAGTCCCCGTGCCATTGCTGCCCAGCCGTATCTGGCCTTGGGGTGCAGGGGCGAGTCGAAGGCCTTGGGGCACAGGAGCGCCGCAGGCCTTGGAAGTGCAGGCCAGCATCGGCATGGCGGAGCGCCCTGGGCGGCCGACAAGCTGAGGCGGCTCGGGCTGAAATGGCGACGACCATCTTGCCAACCTGGATTCGAAGGCACCGAGTGGGCGGAGGCAACTACTGGGAGGCTCTCGTCGGAAAGATTAAGGAGGATTAAGCCCCATTTGGGAGCTGTTATGCCGGAGTGGGCCTCGGATTAAGCCGGATTAGGCGGGATCAACCGGGATTAAGCCGGATAAAGCTGGATCAAGCCGGATTAAGCCGGATTGAGCCGGATTTCGGACCAGGGCAAAAACAGAATTTGACCTCCCAAGAGTTGCATCCGAATCTGGGTAAGGGGACACCAATGCCACGCCGCCACGGAGACGTGATCGGCTTCGGACACCTGGGGCGCGCCGGCGTTCACCTCTCCGGGGTCCTGCAGACCCGATTGTCGAGACACGGGCGGGGGCTCAGGACTCGAACGACGTCTTCAGCCAGGCCAGACCCCTAGAAGGGTTGTCTTGGAGGCGACCAGAGTCTTGCCTGGTTGAGCCTCAAGAGAATCGCACAAGAGGGAGGGGGTGAAAGCGCATCCGATCAAAATCGCCCTGGACCCCTCCCGGGGTCCGTTGGTGCAGCTTTCCCCCCCGATCCGTTTTTGACGGCTGTGGCCCCCGCGGAAGCCGAAAGAGGCAAAGCAACCTTCTCGAACCCAGCGCCACGAACTTCTTCCCGCCATTCCTGCTCGCCAGAACGGTTGCTGGGACCCTGGGCCACCTCCGACCCCCAGCCGGCTCCAAATTGTACCCAATACGTCTGGGGCCGATCGGACCCGCAAAAGTCCATGTCGTTCATTTCTAATCGTGCTCATTTCAAATTGTGCTCGTTTTTGTTCCTGGCCCCCTAGTGGCCAGGAAGAGGTCCAGGATAGAACAATTAGAAATGAAAGGATCTTGGCCCCGAAGAAAATCAAAAAAACTTTAGAATAATTAGAAATGAACAATGTGTGGGCCTCGCGAAAGGCCGCCCCGCGCTGGGCCTCTCCGCCGATCTCCTGCGAGTCCCCGGCGGGCCTCCGCCGAGGGCGGAGAGGTCGGCCCAAGGACTCGTCGAGGACGAAGACCCTTCTAAGAGAACGGCGCTCATGAACCGTGAACCCGGGGGAGGGAGATCAGAGAGGCAGCCCTACCAATGATTCGTTGGATGGAGGCGATCGGTGTTGTCTCCTCTCGCAATGAGAGGGTACTAGCACTGTTACGTCAACACCTTGCGAGCCGAAAGGGCAACGTTAGAGGTAAGGATAGAGGTTAGAGAGCGTACACACAAGCACGGTACTATGTTTGGACTCCCGTCAAGCCCCGCCACAGCGCGGCGCCGAAGAAGCAAGCACCGCACCATTCCTGGGTCGAGGGTCGAAGGTGCCTCGGGCAACGAAAACGAGGCACGGTGTACACAAATCGTCCGCGAACCCTGAGGGGGAAGGACAATCGGGGGCGCGCAAGCATGGATTAGCGATCCATGGATTTGGCGCGCGGTCGCCAAATCCATGGATCGGGGCAGGTGCCCTCCCCAGAATGCGGCCGGTGCCGCCTCGCCCGGCGGCGGAAATCCGCGACTTCCCATGGAAACGGGCCCCGTCGCTAATCCACGCCCCCTTGATCCATGTTTGCGATCGCCCGAGACAATCGGGCCGGGCGAAAGGGGGGATAGCAAAGGGGGGTTTGAGAATCAGCTCACGCAACTGATTTTCCCGGGAGGCGCCCATGTATATCAAGGAATGGGCCTGGCGGCGGGGCCGAAACCAGCTGCACGCAGCAGATTTCGTAACCCCCCCTTTCCCTATGCCCCCCTTTCGTCCGGCCCGAGATCGGGGATTGACAGACCTCCCTTTAGTAAAACGTGGTTTAGTGAAAACGACCTCGGGCCCAAACCTGGCGGGCGCAAGCCTGGAAAATAACGGCCGCGGCGCCCCCTCGGGAACCGAAAGAGGACAATTCACACATCGACGTGTCAGGGTAGGAGGTCTGTCCACCCCCGACGAGACAAGGGGGGACCAGCTCAGGGGGGCGGGAGACGTCGAGTCGGAACCGGCGGCACGCCGCCGACAGAACCGGCGGCCTGGAGGGAGAGAGCGCACGCTCCCGGGCGGGGTGGGCTTCGAGGGGCCCCCGCTCGGGGAGTTCAACGGGCCCCTGCGGGGGCGATGCCTTCCCTCGGGAGCGAACGGGCCCACGCAAATTATGGTGCCCGGACTGTGCCTGACTGGCTCTCGAATCGGATGCGTGATTTGTCGATGGTCATATGCGATGTTGCGCTGCGTTTTCGCGCCGGCGCTTCGGTCTGCGAGGTCAGCATCAGTGAAGGAAGGGGCCCTGGGACACACACAAATGAACAGACACAAATAAAAAAAGGATTCCCCACATCTTCCCATATTTCCTGGATTTCCGTCCTCCCCCCCGCTTCCCACACTGTCGCATATGCTCCTGGGCACCGACGATGAACTGTGCCTCGTGCACGTTGAAGCGTGGAAGACTGCC